ATGAGGGGAATATACCATCAGGTGAAAGGTTTTTGCAAGTAACATTGATACTTTTTTTTTTTTTTGTTTTGTTGTTAGTGTGTATTTGAGGTGTGTGAAAATATGACATATCGCCATTGGTGCTTGTGATGCTTGAGTGTTATAGTTCTAAAACTTCTTTCTTTCTTGTTGATCTTAGTATTTGACAAAACTGGAAAGGTGTTTACAACGCTTTGTGATAGTTCTAAACTTTCTGTTCTTGAGGGGTCTGTGACAGTGTCAGTTAACATTCTGTCAATGCCCATGTCATTCCACACATGCAATAAGATATCTGAATTAGTTACTAATGTAAAAACATGTCTCAAAGTAATTTTTTTTGAAAAAGGACAGCTGATGTTAACATTTGTGTTCTACCGATAGTTTTGCGTTCTTTAACATGTTTGGGGAGGGATGGCCGTGGTGTATCATTTATTCTTTCATTCATTCACATATGTTCTTTTTCTTTTGTTCTTTTTCTTAATTTCTTTCATTCATTCACATAAAATTCTTGCTCTTAATTCATTCATTCATTCATTCATTCATTGTAAAATTCCGACTGATACAATACACTGGCTGAAGTACTGTTAAACGCAGCCGAAGTTGCGCTGGGACCGAACCAAGTCACTGTGTGCGTTGGAGCATGACGAGGCACACGTTAATTAGTACAAATGGTAAAGAAAGCAAGCGAGTGACCTATCCCTGTTGTAGAGCTATCCCTGGGTACAATGTGTGATGAGCTTGACACATTGTACACATGTGGGGAATCGAACCCGCGTATTCGGCGTGCCGAGCGGACGCTTTAACCATTAGGCTACCCCACCTCCCTGTTATGTATGAGCACAGCAAATTTATGAAGAATATCCACATTGGCCGGATGATATGGGGGTGATGACTTTGATAAGTAGGGGTTTTCAATATAATAGACAGGTACATATTTATATCTTAGTTCATTCTAGTATGGTCAGATCAATAGTACATGGTATTCATCGTCAACAGAATCAATAAATAATTGCAAGTTATTATTTCTAATTCTGGGCTTTTCGATTGTCTATATTCAATGGCATTGTATTGCACCTGAATTTAGTCATTGCTCTACGTAACGGCCCTGGGGGTATACACAAGTACCTTTCAGGTTAAATGTGTGATGTATTTTCCAAAACCTTGAACAGCATACGAGGCGGTGTGGTAGCCTAGTGGTTAAAGCGTTCCCTCGTCACGCCGAAGACCCCGGGTTCGAATCCCCACATGGGTACAATGTGTGAAGCCCATTTCTGGTGTCCCCTGCCGTGATGTTGCTGGAATATTGCTAAAAGTGGCGTAAAACCAAAACTCAGTCAGTCAGTTGAACAGCATACGCCATGATACCATTCCCGGTGAAAATATCTCCACATATCTGTTTGAATTGTCTAACAAATGTAGTATGAAACTTGACTATACACTGGCCGTTACCAATTTTTGCAATAATATCATCACCCAGTAGTAAAATGTCCATGTTTGCATACACGGTACACAGTTCCAAGAGATCAGTCCCTGTATGGTCTTTGTTTGTAATCCTAGTAGTAGTAAATTCGGAGACATATACAAAATCTAGACTTATTGATTTCAAATTAATGAGTTGTCTGCGACAGAAATAAACAATCAGTCCATCCATTGTGGATGCGTTTAAATATATTATCCACAGTTCTCCTTTAGTACACGTCCATGTATCGACAAGGAACAATATATACTATTCACACTTTGCTAAGGATCAAATCATGGATTCAACAGAAAACTATGATGTGGGGTCAAATTTGGTTTAAATATCTAAGCTTATTGTAAGCATGGATCCTAGGTTTCAGTATGTCATTTCATCTTGTGGATCCCATACCTGCTACTGACAGGTGTTGTGTACTTGTCAATAACTCGTTCCATGATTTGCAAAATGGTTGATTGGTGCCATGAAAACCATTTTTATGGTTACTCATGTATCAAGTGAGTAAGGTTAGATTAAAGTGACTGATGGCCTAAAGAGGGGTTACCATATTTTTATTTATCCAGTTTTAAATGGATACAATTTCAAATTATGAATCTACGTTTAAGTAAAGTTGTGAATTTTTGTGATCCTTAGCAAAGTGTGAGTAGTATACTTGACGCGGGTCAATACAACTGGCAATGGCAATTGCAATTTTATTCTCCCATGTCAAACCGACAAAATAGGAACTGGAATATTGTTCAAAATGCCGTTTTACCATCTCACTCACTCAACCGATCAACTAGTTTCCCCCCATGATCCAAAAAGGACAGGGCTACATAATTTCAAAAGGGGCACCCCAATTCCAAAAAAGGCATCCAAAAAGAACTTTGCGTTTATAAGATAAAACAATATGCTGAAACGAAACCACAGTGGATGAAACGACAGAACAACAACTATTGAAGCAATAGTATATAACAATGACTGTACTGAAACGATAGCACAATACGATAACGATGTAACAATGACTGTACTGAAACGATAGCACAATGCGATAACGATGTAACAATGACTGTACTGAAACGATAGTACAATACGATAACGATATAACAATGACTGTACTGAAACGATAGTACAATACAATAACGATATAACAATGACTGTACTGAAACGATAGCACAATACGATAACGATATAACAATGACTGTACTGAAACGATAGCACAATGCGATAACGATGTAACAATGACTGTACTGAAACGATAGTACAATACGATAACGATATAACAATGACTGTACTGAAACGATAGTACAATACAATAACGATGTAACAATGACTGTTCTGAAGCGATAGTACAATACGATAACGATGTAACAATGACTGTTCTGAAGCGATAGTACAATACGATAACGATGTAACAATGACTGTTCTGAAACGATAGTACAATACGATAACGATGTAACAATGACTGTTCTGAAACGATAGTACAGTGCCATGAAATGACAGAACAATGCTTGTACTAAAACGATATTTAAAACAAGGCGATGGAAAAGAAAAAAAAATAGAATAGGGTCATGAGATGAAGACGATAAAAATACATTGAAAGAAGAAACAAATGTGGGTGGTGGTATTGGTGTCGATTGGTGCCCGAGTGCAAGGTGGCTACTTATAATAAGACTACTATACGCGGCTGCACGTTACTATTTTAGTAGGGTTTAACAGATTTTATTAGGTTTTGCAAAAATCCTTTGATTTATTGTACAAAGGCCCTTCTTAAAAATCTAAATATGTTTGCCGATTTACAAGAAAATGAAAACAACCATTAAGGAAACGCATATGGAATGTAAATGCAAATACATATCTGCCCGAAAAAGTGTCTTTATTATCCATGTATCAGGGCCTATAATGTAAATGTAATAAAGTCCATTTTTGGCGATATTGCTAAAAGCGGCATAAAACTATACTCACTCGCTTATAGTTCCCTGATGTGCAGATAACATGGAAGATATATCATGATGGTAGCACGTCCGTAACAGAGAACAAACCATTACAAAATGAACGTGCTGAAACTAAAGAATAACGTTTTGAAAAAATATTAATTAGAGCAGAAAGAGAACTTTGCTTAATCCCAACTTTATCAACATATTCAGTAATCGCAGAATCAACATCAATTATATACATGGTATACATTAGCATGTTGAAGATATGTGATTCCAGGTATCTGGGTATGTAATGTGAATATACTTCTTCAGTTGTACGCGGGTTCGATCCCCGACCGCGTCATACCAAAAGACGTTACAATATGGTACTTGTTGGTCCCTGCCTGGCGCTCGGCATTAATGGGTACAACAAGGACTGGTCGGCTCGGAGTCAGTACAATGTGTCTGAGTGGGGTATTCATGCTTCACTGCGGCATGGTATCTCAGTGGGCTAGCACTATAAAACCAGCTTACGTCTGGGCTAGTACAAGCAGCTGCACATACACATACACACGCATGCACGTCGTCACATGAGCGAAATATTCTCAAGCACGACGTAAAACCCAATTTCACCTCACCTCACCTCACCTCACCTTACCTCACCTTACCTCACGTACGTCAGCAGCATGTACTATCGGCTTTCGTCCCAATTAGGATAACGAGCAGGAGTAATGCGTTTCCTTTTATTGATAAACAAAGACAACCATAGGTATTATATCTCGGACAAAATAACAACAATTTTCTCTTCACCTTATCACGTTTACTGCTAATTGCTTCCGTCCAGGGAGTGGTTTCTGAGTTGAGTAAGTACTAAATGAGTCGACTTTGTTAACGGTTAGCTGAGCTTTGGCCTATGAAAGTATAAACAGCGAAACAAATAGACGATATAGGATGCTTTGGCGTTCAAAGAAACATATGGTTTAAACATATATATTTCCAAAAGAGGAACAGTATGGTGCTTATCTGAATACCGCTCCGGAATACAGATAAATTATAGATATAATAATCGTGCGGAGAAAAGCATGATATTAACAAACGATAAAACAATAGCTTTCTGGAAATGTAATAGTCATAAACAGTAATATAGCCGCTTTTAACGTTAGAGCCATTAGTGTCGGAAAATATTTAATACTAAGTGCAATTTCGTTTTTAATATTACAACACAAATCTGCCTGACAGTACAGAATCTTGTTCCAAAGCTTAAATTGAAGTAATTTTGACTATTATTATTTGACCTATTAATCTGTTTTTTAAAACTATACCAAAGTAGCCGTTTTTCTATAATCGGTAGACAAACAATTCCACAATCTTACTGTATCTCATATAAAACCATGATGTTCAAAGAATAGTTTCAGTGGGGCTTGATCTTGTTTGTGATTCAAAATTAGCATTATTCTAAAGTGCCCTTAAAACAGGATATAGTTGTGTATTGAAAAGTATCTCCCTCATCAGTCCCTAGTGAGCTGTATTGAAGGTCTTCTTTCTAGTTCATGATTTTACAAAGTCAAATCTTTCGGGATCGATGATTCGCAATACCTTTAGATAAACTTAAGATATTGTTATATGGTAAAAATGCATCCCAAAAACCATGAGAGAATTCCATCAGATTCGTATTTAGATTTGCAGTTTTGCTCATGAGTCATAGCGGTTAGGCACGGTATGGAGACGGAAAGTTTCCATAGATGGCGTTTAGCCGTAGGCTATGGAAAGAGAGACAGAACACATTTGTTGTGAAAGACATAACAGATTAATCTTATATTGAAACAAACAACAAAGGGGAGAGTGACCGAACGATTCTTACCGGTACTTTTCCAATCGTAATATTCATGAGTGCAAGGTCGGATACAGGCTAACCGAATCAAAACGATTAGTTGAAACATGTGATCAAGATCAGTCCAGGCTCGAACCATATAAAAAGACAGGTTGGGCACTGAGCTGAGTGGTGCGCGCTTTTTAGTGACGGAAGCCAGTCCACGCCACTCAGTTGCCCCGTGTGGTACGAAGCTGCTCTGTCTGATGTTGAAGTTGTAGCTAGAGAGATGGACTGAGACAGAGTAAAACTATGTGAGTATAAACTTGGTGTTGCGTTTTATCTTTGAATGCATGTGTGCCAGTACATGAATGCTATGTGGTTAATTAGGAGTCACGGTCATCCGAACCCTCACTCCTTGACTTAGCATCCTGCTACGGACCAAGCGAGTGGAGCGCCAGAGCTACCATCTCCCCGAACAATGTGGAACGATCATAATTATATAGGTAACTGTGGTAGGGTTTACTAACACCCAAACGCCAGATACGACATGGTGGAGTCTGCGGGTTCTTCTTGAACAAAATGTTTGAGACAATCCATTTCGCTGTTTTTCTTATGGTCGTTCCTACCCTTCTATTCCTTTGCGTTGACGTTTGACGGTAGGTTCCATTTTCGCGGCTGGGATATGTTATCTGCAGTTTTCCCTCAGGATATTTGGAATTTTTGTAATGCCTCGTGGAAATGATTCAGATTCATCTACGTCCTATGACAGTCCGGTCCAATCTCGTCCCATCACTTCTAACATTTTTACTAATCCAACCCGACTTGGCATAATACAACAACCCACGTCAACGTCTCACCCTCCATCTGCTCCCAATGACCTCTCCCTATCTCTTTCTCAGGAGGATTTAGAATTCTCATTTTCCTCTTTAGATTTGTCATCTACCAATAGTTCTTATTCTGCACCTGACTTCAATATGGGCGATTCCACTTTAATGCCAGAACATTTCACAGGTAGGGACACGTCTCATGCTGCCGAGTGGCTTGACCGTTTTGCTCATTTTGGTAACTTTAAAAGGTCGACTGATGCACAGAAAATTGAAGTTTTCCCACTCTGTTTAAAGAACGCGGCGTATCTATGGTACAAAGATCTGATAGAATCGGTAGAGGAAGAAATTGTCCGTTTTGATGAGACTGAGAAATTGTTCAAGGACAAGTATGTCCATCCTACTGACCGTTGGGCCCTTTTGGAAACTTTTGTCAGTCGAAAGCTATCCTCTACAGAAACTATAGATACTTATTTGGCGGACTTGACTGAGACGGCTAGCCTGTTGGGAAAATCAGACACGGACTTAATGGACGCTTTTGTCCGGGGATTGGATGACAATACTAGGCGACATGTTTTAATGAAACAGCCAACTGTGCTTAATGAGGCAGTCTCATTTGCGCGATTGGCCAGGTCAGTGATTCCGCAGTCTGCAGAAAGTACGACTATGAAGCTGGAAATAGATACTCAGAGAGAGCAAATTGCATCGCTTGCGGTGAAACTCGCTCAACCAGCACCACCGGTCAATGCTTTTCAGTATCGCCAGAATCAGCGTTCTCAGTTCCCCAGACACCCTTCTTGGCAAACAGCTCGTCCGTGGCAGCAGCCACAACCTCAGTTTCAGCGACAGCCGTATCCGGACCAACACAATCAGCAGCGACGTCCACCCCAGTCTCCTCGGTCAAACTACACCCCAGGAAGAACCATAACACGGGCACGCCAGTGTTATTGCTGTGGAGGTGAGTATGATTTATCTCATTCTGATAGGTGTCCAGCTCGAAATTCAAAGTGTCACTATTGTCAGAAGGTAGGACATTTCCAACGTGTTTGTAATGCTCGAGGTCAGGCAGTGATATCACAACGTGGATAGCAATCAAATCCACGACCACACAAGCAATGTTCTCACTGTATACATCAGACTTTTGGCCCCCAATATTTGCACTCGCAGGAGTCACCAATTCCTATCTTATCAGGTAATAACCAGCCTCAACCGCCTGTTTTACACGTCACTTCTAACAATGACAATAGGCACAGAATTCATGTCCTTTTGGGAGATCAGATAGTTTCTACAATAGTGGATTCTGGTGCTGCTATTAGCGTTTTAACTCTTGGACTGTTCAATAACTCAGGTCTGTGGAAAGAGTTCCCTATTCAGAAATCCGATGTGTCATCTCTTCAGGGCATAGGCTCAACCATAGTGTCAGTGATAGGACAAGTGGAACTTCCTATAACTATTGGCGATTTTCTGATGACACAACGTTTCAAAGGAGTTGCAGATTTAGCATCACATATGTTTTTAGAAATTGATTTTTTGCTACAGAAGAGTGCTGTCTTGAATTTTCAATCGTGCACTTTAACTCTTCAAAACGGGTTAACAGTAGTTCCTGTTTGGGCAAAAAGCAGCGAGCCCCTTTATCAAGTATTGTCTATAAATGTCGGTTCGCACGCTGGCGGATATACCATTCAATCTGAAATATTTTCCCTGTTTCCATGAGTTGTTCCCCATCCGACCAGATAGGTTTATGTGAACCAAATCCCATATTAGCAGAAACACATCAAGTTTAGGAGCTCATTGCATCGTCTCAGCAACGTCAGGGAAAAGTGTGTACCAAATCATTAACACTAATTATCATGCTGTAGACATTCCAAAAGGCCATGAAGTTGCTAATTTCACTTTCGTACAATCAAATGAAATTACGCCAATGCAGTCACAGCCCTCGTCTGACTCAGAACCACCCCTCTCTCCGTCAGAAGTAGACACGAGATTACGTGACTTGAATGTTGATTTTCTGCATCCCTCTGTCACAGGAGCAACAAGCTAGGCTGGGACACCTGTTAGCCAAGTATCGTGATTGTTTCTGCTGTTGATCTGTCAGAAATAGCACTAAACGATACAGTCCAACATGATATTGATACAGGAGATGCTCCCCGGGTTAGGCAACGTTTTTAGGCTACCGTACTAATCCTGCTATGCGTGTAGAGATAGATCGTCAAGTTCAGGTTAGTGGATTTAGGCATATGTGAACCTGATCATGATAGCCCGTGGGCCTCCAGTTGTAATGGTGCCCAAGAAAACTGCTAAGGGTTCGCCTCCATCATGGAGAATGGCGATCGACTTCAGAGTTGTGAATTCATGCTCCCGTCCAGTAGTTTTCCCAATGCCAAGATTAGAAGATGTTCTTGATGATTTAGGCACGGCACACGCAAAATATTACACAACTATTGATTTGGCTGCAGGATATTGGCAAATAGCTTTAAATGAAGAAAGTAAGCCCAAAAGTGCATTTGTGACAGCTAGTGGTACTTATCACTTCAACCGTATGGCCTTTGGCTTAGCCTCTGCCTCAGCAACTTTTCAAAGACTGATCAATGATGTTTTCCGTACACTCAATTGGCGTAAAACAATGTGCTATTTGGACGATGTGTTGTGTTTTTCGCCAGACTTTGAGACTCATTTAGCTGATTTTGAAGAAGTATTTTATGTGCTTACGCAAGTCAAACCTGAAAGCAAAACCATCTAAGTGCCAGTTTGCTAAACAGTCAGTTTCTTATTGGGGCACATTTTTTCAAACAAGGGTGTCCAAGTCGACCCTGAGAAAACTAGCGTGACAGCGTCCTTTCCGACACCCACAAAGTCTAAAGAAGTTAAAAGCTTCCTAGGAATGGCAGGGTTTTACCGCCGCTTCATTCAAGATTTTTCAAAGATAGCAGTTCCATTACATTCACTGTTGCAAAAGGTTAAATAAATTGTTTGGACGGATGAACATAAACAGGCATTTCAAACTCCCAAATTGGCCCTACTTCAACCTCAAATCCTCGCATTTCCAGATTTTGACAAACCATTTCTCCTATATACAGATGCTAGTGATGAGGCGCTAGGATATTTGCTTGGTCAAAAAGATGATAGTAACAGAGATGTAGTAATTGCTTACAGTGGTCGTGCTCTGTCTAAAGCAGAGAAAAATTATGGAATCACTGAAAAAGAATGTTTAGCAGTTGTGTCAGGTATCAAACATTTCAAAGTGTATTTGACACATGCTCCGTTTACAGTAATAACGGAGCACAGAGCTTTACATTATTTGAAGGACAATAAGGACCGCTCTGCTCGATTGAGCCGCTGGTCACTTTTGTTGAGTGATTTCACTTTCACAGTTCAGTACCGACCAGGTAAAACTTGGGTAATGCGGATTTTTTGTCACGTTTACTGTACCCAGAATGCCCTGAAGGTATGGATGATCCACTCTCTGATGTACCCTATTTGTTTGCTACTGATGTGAATTGTACAGACAATGATATCACTCAATCGGACGACGACAGCCACATATCGATTGTGACTGCCCCTGAGATAACGCCTACTTTGTATGTGGATGACTCACTTTCTGACCCTCTTCGTGTAATTTCCAACCCTGTAGGACATTGCTCCATAGCAGAGAAACAATATGCCGACCCTGAACTACAGCCCTTGATTGACTGTTTAAAGTTCCCAACATTTGCAACGGACGACAAAACCACACGATTACTCTTGTTACAAAGCCAGGATTTCATTCTTGACAATGACATATTGTATCATCTGTATGCACCGCCAGGACCGGGGCACAGGAAAGACAGGCTTATTCGTCAGTTAGTGATACCCAAATCGTTAGTAAAAGAGGTGTTACAATCAATCATATCATGACAGTTTATTGGCAGGGCATGTCGGTATTGATAGAACATTCAATGCTATTCGACAGAAATATTATTGGCATCATATGATGTCTGATAGAAAGCAGTTTATTGTGTCATGTACTGCTTGTCAAATCAATAAACGTGATTTTCACAAGAGACCAGCCCCTTTGTAACCGTTACCTGTTCCAGGTAAATTGTTTGACTGCGTTCAAGCTGATTTCTTAGGACCATTGCCAATCACCAAGGCAGGTCATCGGTATGTGTTTTTGTTAACTTGTGCATTTTCACGATGGAGTGTGGCAATTCCTATTTCTTCGTTAGACGCTGCAGAGGTAGCCAAGACATTTTACTCCAAGTATATATGTGTTTATGGAATCCCCAGAATGTTATTGACTGATAACGGTAGTTCATTTACCAGCAAACTTTTTAATGCGGTATGTTCTATATTGGGGATCAAAGCACTGAAAACGAGCAGTTATCACCAACAAACCAATGGAGCTTGTGAAAGACTCAATTCATTTATGTGGCAGACATTGCGTATGTTTATCAATGAGAACCAAGACAATTGGGATGATCTCCTTCCTAGTGTTATGTTTGCATATAATACTAGCCCG